ATCGCCCAGGTACCACTTCACATCTGGTTGGCTTCACCTGTCTCTCATTCCAGCCACTGCCATGATGACCAGCTCTTCACAGGTTCTGACACACTTCTGCAGGTGCAACCTGATGGTGCTTTGTGTCGGACCTGGGTCATGCACACCCTGCCTTCCACCCTGGGGCTTCTCTGTTGATGGCACAGAGCGAGACACCACAGGAACTTGTTTCATGCGAAAACCATATACAATCCTGAAGTGCTGGCAGTTTGTCCCGTGATGCATTTCATAGGGTTTCTAGGGTGATTTCATGAAGTGGTAGCCAACTTGATAACACTTCCTTGAACTGGTTCTCCTTCTTTCTTGCTTTGCTGCCCCAAAATTCTCTTTGGGAAAACACTCCCCAGTAAGGTATTTGCATATGAAAAATAAATGAGGGAGTTACAAGTCTAAAATCAATGCTACCGGTTGGCTGGAGCTATTTTTCTAGCCCAAGTATGTGCTCCTGAACACCTCCCCTCACTATTCCCAGCTCGTATTCTTGTGATATTCATATTCACTCATTCCTGTATTCATTCTTATTTTCAGCAAGTACTGACTGCTTGCTGACGAAATGCTAATTACAGCAGATACAACGGTGAACATAATTCCTGTTGCCATCACTGAGAACTTTGTCTCAAAAAGGACTGATAGGGTCTACTTTGAACGCATCCTTAAATCTAAAAACACAGATGCAAGCTACTTCGCCGGCTGGACAGTGGATGGTGGGAAAGGTCATTAGAATGCAAACAGTGAACGCGCAGAACGAAGGCTGCAATACACCATCGCAAAATCTCCCAAGCAGTACACGTCGCAGATACTCAGAGGTGGGACAGATACATTTTACGGTAAAAATGAAAGAGTAAAATTTGAGACCACATCTCCAGGCCACACATAAGGGAACAGCTATTGGGGTCCCCATCCTGTGTGGAGTATAGGCAGAAAAGAGAGGTGCTGTGCTGCTTAGCTCCTGGGTGAAGGGCTCTGGAGAGTGGGTGTTGATTTGGGGGGTAAAGGGAAAACAGCAGGCTGTAAAGTGAAAGAAGCCCAGCCTGAGCAGTAAGCTGCTGCTTAAACAGACTTACGCAGAATGTGATTGTATGTCTTTTTAACAGCCTCTAAAAGTCTCTTTTTAAAGCCTTTTCGGAAGTAGTTTCCTCTTTTCCTGTTGTACTGTCAGTTGGCAGATGCCTCTGGAAAGGGGGATCTGCTTTCCAAAAGGCTCCTAAAGAATGTTGGTTAAAAATTACTTTTAAAGCTATCTGCTGGAGAGCACCTTGCCCTCTTCCTCCCGCCTGCACTGGCATCTTTCATTTTCTCCCGACCCTAACTGATGTGCCAGTTACTTTCTCAGAAACCTCCCTCCTTGGCTGACACTTGTGCTGACATAACATCCTGTCCTGGCAGGCAACTGCCAATTCTCATTGGAAAATGATTGCTAAACATTCCTGGGTTCTGGAACAACTCAAGGGGCTAGGGCCCATCTTTAATGGACCATGGCTTACCAGAGGGTGCCTTGAGGATGATAAAGGTGCACAGAGGAATTTGTGCCAGAAAGAAAGAAAGAAAGAAAGAAAGAAAGAAAGAAAGAAAGAAAGAAAGAAAGAAAGAAAAGAAAGAAAAGAAAAGAAAAGAACTGGTCAGGAGGCATGTAAAAAGCCAAATGCACTGGGCAATGTTGATGATTTGAGAAAGAGATCATGGGGACATGTCAAACAACTAAACCAGTCTTGTTTTCAGCATTTTTCAGGATTAAATTCTGCAGGCCATTTTCATACATCCTAAGGAGAACAAAATATCATCCATATATTTTTAAAAGGCATTAATTAAGTTTAGCTCTGACACCCAGGAGTAATGGTCCCTGACCTGGGCCCCGACCTCCAACTAGGGATTTCAGATGAGGCTAATGGTTGTTGCACAATCAGATCTGTGTCATGTATTGAATATAGGTCAAAGGATGACTACTCCCTGCAGAAAACAAAAATAACCTTTCTAAGACACCATTTCATATTAGCATAGACACATATGCTCAGGATCAGAAAGAAATTGTGTTGTATCTAAAAGAAATCACGTTGAAAGAAAATCACATTTGAAGCTAAAGCATTTGGCAATGGAACTACATTTCTGTAAGCTTTTATTTACTGATTACAGAGGAGTCCTGACCTGAAATTAATGAAAAATGTGAACATATCCTAGTAAAGTTTTAGGAACTCCTATGAACTACCAACTTTAAATGATTTTATACTATGACTTTCCTTTTCTTAGTTTCAGAATGTCTAATTTCAAAAAGTTTGAAATTTGGGGTTACCTGGATGGTTCAGTAGGTTAAGCTGATGCTTGATCTCAACTCATGTCGTGATGTCAGGGTCGTGAGTTCATGCCCCACATGCGGCTTCACGTTGGGCGTGGAGGCTACTTAAGAAAAAAAAATAAAAAGTTTGACATTTTAATGTAAAAAGCATTACAATTCATATTAACTTGCTCATGAAATCTAATAGAAATGAATCGTCACAATATGAATTATTAGATTTAATTGTTTTTTTCTCTAGTTGCTACAATTGAAATTATAGTCCCACTGATAAAGAGATATCTTACCCAATTTAGGACAAATTGGCAAAAAGGAGAACTAGAAACTCCTTTCTACTATAACTCTCTCAGAATACTCTTCTCAATGATGTCTATCCTTAACTTTAATATATTTTAACTATAATCACAAAAAAAGTTGTTCAGTAAGCACAAATCATACTGCTTAATGATGCATTCTTTATATAATACTTTTTTACTGAAAATATTCAGTGAAGGTTTTTTTTTTTAAAGATTTATTTATTTACTTACTTACTTACTTACTTATTTGAGAGAACAAGAAAGAGAGAGAGAGAATCTTAAGCAAACTGCCCTGAGAATGGAGCCCGACTCAGGGCTCAGTCTCACGACCCTGAGATGACTTGAGCCAAAAACCAAAAGTCAGACGTTTAACCGACTGTGCCACGCAGGCACCCCGGAATCTTTAAATCCTTTAAATATAAATATATTTATATGTTTATATATTTATATTTAAATAGAAATATCACACAGAATTAGATACTATAGTTCTTGAATTATAATAAACTTTTATGGATGTGAATATTATCCAACTCATGTTTCAATATACTTCCTACACTGGCTCCCTGAGATAATGTAAAACATTCTCTGTTAGTAAAAACATGCTTTTAAGAAGACAGTGAAAGTGATAGACTTGGGGGAAACCATCAATATTTAGGTAATAGAAAATGTAAAACCAAATAGCTTGGGGCCAATTCAGTTCTACTATGTAAAATCATGCTGATTGGAGCAAATCAATGCTTTGAAGACTTAGTCTAATATACTATAGCTCTAATAAAGTTAGGTAAATTGTGAATTCTGTGTATGGTGTATAGAGGACGCATTACTCATTCCAAAACAGTGATTTTAATGCTTCACGTCTCAACTGAAGAGCATTGTCGTATGGAAGCAGTTTCAGGTGGTGATCAAGTCAGAACCTTATCTGGATTCTCACCAGTCGTGTGACCTTGACTAAATCAATCACAATCATTTTTCATCTATTTCCTACCTCTTTATATTATCGTGAGGATTAAGTGAGATGTATTATAAAGCCATAGAACAATCCTTGGCTCACAGTAGGTACTCGATAAATCTTGGCCATTTTGATTAATATTATTATTATATTTTTATTATTGCATATTATATGCAAATAAAATTGTGATTTCTGAATCCTCCAAGTCCCAATTTGATGGTGGAGGAAGAAGCTCCACATGAGGACCAAGAGACAGATGACTTTAAAAGCTGTTTTTCCTGACAATGACTATACTATAAAACACAATTCCCACTGTAAAACAGGAGGCAAGCTTTTGATTTTTTCAAAATCTCTGCCTTCCTACACCAGGGATGTGTGGATTTTACGTGGTTGCAAATTCTACCCGATAGTCTACTATATTTTTTAAATCACTTATTTATGCAAACATTCAGTACATTTTTAGAACTTAAAATATATCATCTGACATTTTTTTTAAGCTTAAGGTTTTTAAAAAATAAATGAGACAGTTTCTGGGCTTAAGACAGTTTCTAATGCCTTATTTTGTTGATTCAGTCGTACAAAACCATTACAGTAAATCTCTTGGGAAAAAATATGTTGTTGCTCTAATACAAGGTTCGCAATCTGTAGCTTGGTTCGAATCCAGCCACTGCCAGTTTGTGTATGGCCTGCAAGCTAAGAACATTTTTCACATTTTTAAATGGTTGAAAAAAATCTATAGAGTAGTATTTCATGACAAATATATAAAATTCAAATGTCAGTGTCCATAAGTAAAATTTTATTGGAACAGATTGTTTGGGTATTATCTATGGCTGCTTTCACACTACAATAGCAGAGTTGAGTAGTTACCGCAGAATCCATGGATAGCCCACAAAGCCTAAAAAAGGGCCAGAGAGCAAGTCTCATTAGCAAGCCCTGCTACCAAAAAAAAAAAAAAAAAGTTGTTGAAGCAACATCCAACTCAGGAACAGGTTTTTTTCTTTGTTTTTTTTTTTGTTTGTTTTTTGTTTTGTTTTGTTTTGTTTTTTTTACGATGTATTTACTTAAGAGTGTGTGCATGAGCAGGGGAAGGAGCAAAAGGAGAGGAAGAGGGGGAAGCAGATTCCCTGTTGGGGGAGGAGTCCAATGCAGGGCTCTGTGCCACAACCCTGAGACCTTGACCTGAGCTGAAACCAAGAATCTGACACTCAACCGACTGAGCCACTCAGGTTCTTCAGAAACAGGTTTTAGACCATAAATTTCATTTGGAAGTCAGTTGTCCATGAGAATTAAATAATAATGGCAATTTGATTCCTGGGCTAACCCACAAATGCTGATTAACTTAAAATGTATTTTAACTTTATTTAAGATCCTGAGTTACGAAGTTTGGAAATAGGTAGCCATAAGTTGCAGAGAAGATCTTTTCCTGACTGAAAACATGCAGCTCTTCTCGCTGGGTGCTCCCACAGTCTTCGAGCAGAGGGACCTGATACTGGTATTTTTTATCTTCCTCACAATATTCAGCCAAGAGCACTTAAAGTGCATACTGCATACTTGTTAAATGAGGTGAGATCCACTAATTCTATGTTAATGTATGTTAAATAGTCAGGATAACCTCAATTATGTATAGTCCCCTCTTTGTCTCTTATTATTAGGCACAATTTTTATAAATTTCGGATTTTTTTAAAGCATGGTCATTTTAACTTTAAAACCGAGAGCAACTTTTCAATGTTTTTATTTCAAACCACAGTGAAAAATACATTTTATATATTGACCTAATGCACATATTCCTATATATATTTATGACTTAAAAGTTTTCTGCATGCATAGTTGTCTGTTCTATTATATTCTACTCCATTTAATTATTTTTAAATTCTCATCAGACTTACTAAATTGGTTTCATGACTGACTAATGGGTCAGAATCCACGGTTTGAAAAGCTGAGTCTACAGTATTTCAAAATAAATAGCTGAATACTCACAAGTGAATTGAATGAATCAGTTCTTTGAGAACTGTTAATTGAGCACCATAATAACTGCCTGGACTAGACACATGCCAGACACTGAGATATTATGATCGAAAAGATGTCCTTCCTCACCTCAAAGGGCTGAATGTTTGGTTAGGAAAGTAACCAGTAAAGAATAAATGATTTGGAGTTGGAACACTGCTCAGTTTAACCAGGATATATCCAGATTACAGCATCAAATTCCCAGAAGCAAGTAAAGAAATCCAACTCCCAGGCCCAGCTTTGCTTCTATTTCGCTAATATTTTAATTAACTGGATTTAGGACATGACTTCCTGTTCTGCTATTCAGATGGATCTAATCACTCCCCCAAAATTTAAACCAGCTTTTGAAAGCAGAAAAAACTTTAAGATATATTTAGCTTAAATATAGACATAATTTGAGTGTAAGTATAGATGATACTGGAACAAGCATTTAGAAGTTTGTTTGCATCAGTAGCAGAGAAGGCATTTGTTTTTCCCATCATCATTAAAATCTTTTAAGTTCGTTTTTATAACCAAATTATGAAAAATAATAATAATATTATTATTATACATTCGAAATTGCAGAGCATTTGTAATTGTGGAAATACTAACTTGAAATATACCTGCAATATCTTTTTCTAACCGTTACTATTTTAAGTTTAATTACACTATATTATCCAATGATGCAATTAGACATTTTATAAGCAGAAAAATTCACACAAAAAAAGCAAAAAAAAGGTACACGATACTCAATTGTTGCATTTGAAATCCTAGCTAAAAGAAAACTATATCTGAAAGAGGTTTATCTCACATGTCTTAAAGATTTATAGTTAATTAAAGAAAAACATGGGTAGGTAATTCCAAATGCACTGCAGCTTCATCCATTTAACAAAGAACCTATTTTACTGATATAAATTGTAGATATAACAAAACACAGGGGTTTTGTTGTTGTTGTTGTTCTAAAGACATTACACTCACTCCCATTTTCAGAAACTCCTAACTATGTGCTTCCCACTCTTCCCCATCTTACTTAGGCCCCAGAAGTAGGCACGAGGCTCCTTGGGATTAGCCCACATCTAGTCTGTCTGCTTCCCAGATATGCCCAGAATCCTTCTCCTTTTCTCTCTCTCCCTCCACTACCAGAACCCAAATCCAAACCACCATTTCTTCTTGCCCAGACTACCACAGAAACCAGCAAACTTGTCCCTCTGAGTTCTCTCTCCTGCTTCTGTGAAATCAGACTCTACATACAGAAATTCCTGTAAAATTTAAAACAGAACATGTTAAACATACTGCTTCCAAAGCTCCAGTGGTTCCCACTGCACTTACCTGCTCTCCTTTTCCACCACCACCTCTTTTCCTGTACACTGCACTTCAATCACATTTCACTTCTTTTTCTTCCCCAAATGGGATGGTTAATTTCATGTATGCGATGGTTAATTTTATGCCATATTTCCTAACCAAACCCATGACTCTGAATTTTCTATGAAAGCGATTTTTAGATGAGATGGCCTTTTAAGTTGGTGGACTTTGAGTAAAGCAGATTACCCTCCACCAGGTGGGTGGGCCTCATCCAATCACTCGAAGGCCTTAAGAGAACAAAAACTAATACACGCATCTGCTCCCAGCAAAAGGTAGCTTGCCAGCAGATGATCTTCGGACATGCACTGCAGCTCCTCCAGAGTCTCCAGGCTGTCAGCCTACCCCAGATTTTGGATTCACTAGGTTCCCACAATTACATGAACCAATTCCTTAAAAAAATAAATCTAGAGATGGTGATAACTAGCTAGCTAGCTAGATATCCCATTGGCTCTTTCTTTCTGGAGAATCCTGACTAACACATCAAACACCAAACCTTTTCTCCCTATAATACCTTCAACACCTATAATACTGGAACACCTTTTCTCACGAGAACACCTTTGCTCTTGCTGTTCTTTGTCTCTGGAACTCTCTTCCCAGGCTCAACATATAACTGCCTCCTCATTCATGTCTCAGCGTAACATAGCTCTCCGAGACACTCCATTATATCACCTCATTTCATTTCCTCTCTAGTACTCAACCTGAAATGATCCTTACTCATTTGTTTGCTTGTATATCATCTATTTCTCCCTGACTGATTCTATTCTGTCAAGGAAAACACGTGTTACATCTTGTTCCCTGTTGGGTCCCCGGCACTTAGAACAATGCCTGGGACATAGTAACATAGTAAGCGTGCTGTATTTATTGAGTAAATGAGTGAACAAATTAATAAAGAAAGCATCCTTGTTAAAGTTCAAATTGCTTTCTTGGCACCGTTGATCAAGCATCAGGTTCTATTTAGTCCAGGAGGTCATTCTGCATCTAGAGTCCACATAATGAAGTAGAAAACTAATTAAATATCTCATGAAAAAGTTGTAGTTCCTCTGTTAATTTCCACACATCGTTGTAGTACTTAAGTCTTAAATGGGAAAACTCAACTCTATGCCAAACTTGTCCTAAATCTCTCTTTTTTTTTTTTTTTGGCATAGGTTCATCTAATAAATCTGATTAAATTGAGTCAATAATTTTATTCTTCCTTTGTAAACTTCCACAACTAAAAGCAGTTCTTTATATTTCCCATGGCAAATCATCCTACTGGAGAGCACTAAAGGGTCTTGTCAGAGTGTGGACCTAGTACCAAAGACTGAAATCACTACTTTCTTTTTTTTCTTTTTTGAATTAATGAGATGGTGTTTCCTATATTGCCAAAACGAAAGCAAATACTGATTTTTTTTTAAAGCATGAGAACTCAGGAAGCAGGACCAACTCCAGCAGATATGCTAAATCATTTTACAAGTGTTTAGAATATTTTTGCTTTATAAATATATTCCACCACACACCTTGGATCTCATATCTTATCAACTTAATGTAGTTGATTACTGTGAGGGTGGCCAAATTCTCTGATCATTCATTTATTCCTTCATCTGTTCATTTGTTGCATTATAAAGCACCGCTGAGTATCAGGTAGTGAGCTAGGTGAGAAGTATACCTTGGTGAATAAAATAGACATAGTCCTTGACCTTCAGAAACTTACATTGTGATAGAGGAAAGAAAATACAAGTGAATACATAATTTGACATATAGACATGTTATTTAAGTACTATAATATGTGCTATGAAGGAGACAGACTTGGGTGGGATGATAGAGAATACAGTCTGATTGGAAAGTTATGAAAGTCTTCTTTGAAAATCTCTTTGATAGTTTATTCCCCACCCTGAAGAACAAAGAGAAGGAAGCCAAGAGAAAAGAGGGTGGGGAGATGGAGATGGAGAAAGGGTACCAGGAAGAGAGGGCAGTATGGGTAAGGACTAAAGGGACGAATATGTTTGATCCAGCTTAGGAATCTAAGGGGTCTTTTTCCATGGGACATCATCCTTAAAATCATCACGATTTTTCTTTCCTTTAATCTTCGGCAAGATCTTTCCCTATATTACCCTACCCTGGACACAAGGTATGCAGGCTGGTGTGGGAAACATGTAAATAAAAACCATGTAAGGCAGCCTGGGTGGCTCAGAGGTTTAGCTCTGCCTTCGGTCCAGGGCGCGATCCTGGAGACCCGGGATTGAGTCCCACGTCGGGCTCCCTGCATGGAGCCTGCTTCTCCCTCTGCCTGTGTGTGTCTCTGCCTCTCTCTCTCTCTCTCTCTCTCTCTCTCTCTCTCTCTGTGTGTGTCTCTCATGAATAAATAAAATCTTAAAAAAAAAAAAAAACCCAACCATGTAGTTTGCCATGTAAATTGAATCTCTTCAACAAAATTCAATTTACTAGATGTCTTGGTTGTCCATCCCACAAGCATAGCCTGGCTGTGCTTTGAGGAAGCCCTTTGTCAATGGCAACAATTCAGTTTGTCCCTGGCCACTCTTCACTCCCTAGTCAAGCATTCCAACTCACTGCCAGAACCCTTTAGGAAGTAAACACTTCCGACTGGAGGGGTTGCATCACTAGTTCTCTTCCTTACATACCAATAGTGTTGATTGTGGAACACTTTTGGAAGCCAAAGTCAGAAACCTATTATCGGTCTTGCACTCAGCCCACTTGCATTTCAGATGATCTGAAATCAGCTTTAATTCTATTCTGAAAGAATTAAGGTATCACACCTCCAAGTCATAGAATCTTAGAATTCAGTGAGAATGGTCCTCCAGACTTTTAGAAAATTCATCTCACTAATTAATACTTTACCTTTTTGAATGTATTTTTATTGACCTTTATTGAACATTTTATTAAATATACCTGAGAGAAGGCTGCCATCAAAGATTGGTGACTCACAGAAGAACTGGAAGAAATCAAAAGACCCAATCTAGTGTAGTAACAGAACTTGATGACTGTGTGCCATCTTGCATTTGATTTCTTCTACTCCTCATTTGTTCATTGTAAAATACAGTATGTCATATCTCTTATGAAAAGTATGAGTTAACAGATTCGGGCATGTTAATCAACCTGAATATTTGAGGTGTTTAAGGGGAGGGATGTGAAGGAAAGGCAGCATGATGTAGTAGGAAAAGCTTGGGTTGTAGAGGATTATACGACAAACAGTTAAACCTCCAACTTGGCCATTATTAGTT